GTCCAGGAACAGGGGACCACCAAGTTACATAAGGAGTGGTAAACTGAACCAGGTCAGAAATGATCAGGTCAAAACTCCCATGCTGAACAAAAATGTCTCCAGATATTGCCAAATGGCTTCTGAGGAGAAAACAGTCACCCACCCACTCATCCCCACTGAGAACTACTGATACATATGTATAAAACCAGAAAACTTGTAGCTTACCTTATATACAAGACTTTTCTTATACTACTCATTAGTTTAACATTACAAGCGGTCTCTTTACAGTCTAAATACCTTATCCACACACAAAATGAATTCTGTAATTAATGTAGAAAAATTTTTAAATTAAATAAATTGGCAAACATTAGTAAATAAATATTTTATAGCTCAGAGCACTAAAGCTAGAACAAATCAATCAAATTTGATTTGAAAAAATGACTCCTTATGGTTATGAATCGGGCTGCTAACCTCAAGGTCGGAAGTTGGAAACTACCAGCTGTTCCTCGGGAGAAAGATGAGGCTTTCTGCTCCCGTAAAGATTGGCAGCCTTGGAAACCCTTTGCAGGGTCACTATGAGTCAGAATCGACTCCACGGTACTTAACAACAACAAATGGGTAGTGAACTTTCATCAAAGAAGAGCATAATACTTAGACTGGATTATAAATGCCACATAAGAGAATGTCCATGAATTGTTGTTAAGTGCCACTGAGTAGGTTCTGACTCACAGTGACCCAGTATAGGGTTTCAGAAGAGCAACTGGTAATTTGCACTGCTGACCTTCTAGTTCAAACTGACCTTGCAGTCTTGTGCTTATCCTAAAGTGCCACAGCAGAAGTCCTGTCAATGAACTGTTCTTGTTGTTGTTAAGTGCCATCGAATTGGTTCTGACTCATAGTGACCCAGTATAGGGTTTCCAAGGAGTGACAAGTGCATTTGAACTGGCCTTGCAGTTCAAACTGACCTGGATGCCCACTGCATTATCCTTCAGCACCACACCCCCTTGAAAATGTTTCTTACTATATTTACTTTTACTAGCATATCCTATCCAGTAGAAATATACATTTCCTAATTGATCAGCTAATCATTTTGATCTCTATGTCTATAACTTCCTGCAGCATTTTTTTAAAACAAGATTTCTCCTTATACTAAATTTTATCCTAGAGAAAACATTTCAGAGAACATGTCTTGATAATAACAAGCGATATCCACATTATAAAAACATGTATCTAAATTGTTAATAATATTTTCCCCAAAACTCTCTTTGGAAGTCTTTAGTGTACTTCATGAAAGAACTATAAAATCTTCAGAATAGAAATGTGATGATCATACACATAGTGTCACACATAATCTGCTGTATCTATGTGTCATGTCTTTCTAATTCTGTATCAGAACTTAAGGTTTTGCCCTCTGCCATTAAGGTGCCATTAGATAGCAATCTAACGCAAACTTCAGTATACTGATGTCTGAATTAGTCTCTAGATATTAAAGACAACACATTTCTCACTTTAAAAAAGGTATACAAGAGTACGGTGGAAATTCCATTTAACTAAGTCATACTTTGGACATATTGTCAGGAGGGACCAGTCGCTCGAGAAGGATATCATGTTTAGTAAGGTGGAGGCTCAGAAAAAAAGGGGAAGACCCCCAGCTAGATGGATTGGCCAAGTGGCAGCATCGATGGACTCAAGCGTGGCAACAGTATTGAGGTTGGCCCAGGATCGGGCAGTGTTTCATTCTGCTGTGCATAGGGTCACTATGGGTCAGTACCGACTCAATGACCCCTAACAACAAGTCTCAGAAGATCTAGATTCAAATTCCACCACTTATTAATTTAAACTCATCTTACATGAGCTACAAGGAAGCTTGCTTGTGCAGTGATTAAATGCTCAGCTATTTAACTGAAAAGTCAGCAGTTGGAAGCCACCAGCTGCTGCACTAGAATAGAAAAGCAGTCTTTTCTTAAAGATTTATAGCCTTGAAAACCCTACCTTTGTTCTCTAGGGTCACTATGAGTCAGAATTGACTAAATGGTAACAGGTTTGATTTCTTTTTTTTTTTAAAGGTGTGTTATAACCTCTCAGAGACATTTTTTACGTAGCAGATGAAAGAAACAATGTCTATTCTCTTTTATCTATCTCACAGCCTAAGCCTTGGCAGATTCTAAATCATAAGCAAATAGGGTATTACTTGATTTTTTAAAATCTAAAAAGCATGTCTTTCCATTGGTTTTAAGGCAGGAACACTGATGAGGATTCCAAGAATGCAAAATCCATGTCCTCTCTTACTTCTTCTCCAACCCATAATCAAAATCAAACAGTTAACAGTGAAATCCCCTTTTTAGAACTATTTACAAAAACATCTAGTCAACATTTGAACTTAATCAACTAGTTAATAAAATAAACCAATACATTTTCTTGCTTTTCTTGTAACTAAACCACATCAAGAAATTAGTGTGTCGGTTCCCTTGGAGATAAGAGAACAGCCTCAGCTACCTTTCCCCAGGTGGCTCACCCAGTGAGAGAATGTCAGTTTCAAAGTTCACAAGTAATGCTTCCAATCAATTTCTTCCTCTGATTGGGAAGAAATCATATTCAGAGTTAAGGGTCTGAGTTAAAACTTTTCCTACCTTCCTTCAGTATTAAGGATTAACTATTAGCTTTATTTCTTCAAGATTTATATTGTACTTGAACAAATGTGACAAAAGGTTCTATAACCCATTTTATATATAGTTACATGATTTCTGATATCAAACAGAATATAGTGGAATATTTCAGATTTTTGGAGAAAAGGAGGTCACTTCTGCTAAAGTCATCTTCTAAAATCCCAAGAAAGCATCCAAACCTAGGCTGAATTCTATTAAAACTTTCTTTGTATATGATTTAAATGATAAAGTCAAATATCCCTGCCTTTGGAATAGAAATGGGTGAGCTATTCAGTCCTCCTCAAAAAAAACAACCCCAAAACCTATAGTATAGCATAGAAATGACTTGTTTAAGAGTAAGCATGGCACGAAATTGATTGTTCAGAGGAACGTAGTAGATAGCCATTACAAAGGCTATCTACTACAATATGATTGTTCCCCTTGAAAGTAAATGGTTAAACTTAGAAACCAAATAAAAGCTACTTCTATATTTATATCAAATCTATACAAATTAGCATTCTTTCACCATTTTCATAGTATCAAAAATATTTGATCTTTAATGATGAACAATTACCTACTCAATCTTCAAAGTTCTAAGTTCCATAAACATCTTCCTAAAGTCACCATAGCCTCAGATCCCACCTCAGTACTTAACAGGGCATTCATTCCAACCTTTTCTAGATTCCACAGCATGGGAGTCAGAGAGAATTCTGGAAAATGTTGAAGAATTTGTTTTCAAAACGGATTCATCAGAACTTGAATAAAAGTGATTAGAATTGCTTAACCTTGAGGAACAGGAATCCTGGTATGGAGCTGCAGGATAATACGCTGGACCACAGGGTCAGGTTTGAGCTGCAAGATTGGGGATTCACACTCACCAGCTACTCCTTAGAAACACTACACAGGGTCACTAAGAGACAGAACCAACTCGACGGCACCTGATATGGAAAGAAGACTGAGAAATAACCTAAGAGCTTAAAAAAAGGCTACTAGAAAAATGAAAGGTAAAATAACTTGTGGTTCTTTTCTACTGTTGTTAAATGCAACTGAAGATTCAGATTATATACAAAATATCCAAAAATCACGTTTGGAAAATGAGTGAACAAGAAAAGTTATGGAACACTCCTTTTGCACATTTTTGGGATTAAATAAATCTTTTATCTGCCTACAGCCAACTGACCATAGTCTCTTCCAGGTGTCTATTCTACTATTTTGCTGTAGGCCTTTACTTTGCCAAGTTTTCACAAAATTAAAAATATCTGAAAATAATCTCCAAAAGCTTACGCAGTAATCAAAATTTAATAAAATCATATCCTTATGTAAATTTGTAGTCTTGGAATAGCTATGTAGGATAAGCACTTGACCTCAAGTTTGGTTTGAACCTCACGATCAGCAGTAGAAACTCACTAGCCGCTCTTTGGAACCCCCTATACAGGGCTGCTACGAGTTGGAGCAGACTCGATGGCACTTAACAACAACATAAATTTAAAAAGGACCACAAAGCAAATGTAAGGGTTGGTAATAGTACCCCTTAGCAAAGAGAGAGCTTTATAAAATCTATCAGACAGCTGTAGGTTTTCTACTACTACAATATTGAAGGGAAATACTACTAATTTTGAAAGAAATCGTCCATAAAATTATTGCATTTCCTCAACAGAATTCAATTCTACTGTCTACATGTGGAATCAAAATACCAAGAAACCCACAAAGATAATTGTTGTTGTTGTTAAGTGCCTTCGAGTCGGTTCCGACCCATAGCAACCCTGTACAGGGTTTCCGAGGGGGTAAATCTTTACGGGAGTAGAAAGCCTCATCTTTCTCCCGTGGAGCGGCTGGTAGTTTCGAACCGCTGACCTTAAGGTTCGCAGCCCAATTCGTAACCACTACGCTACAAAGATAATAGTCACATCTAAACATGGCTTTTAGGTACATATAGGTTAATACACCAGACTGCAAATCCATCTGAACTGCAAGGTTGGCGGTTCAAGCTCATCATTCACTCCTCGGAAATCCTATACAGGGTCGCTATAGGTTGGAACCGACTCGACAGCACAACAACAACATTTAGGTACAGATGTAAATTCACATTTTCACCCCTTCACAAAACTTTCAAATATACTTCAAATGAAAATGCACATAACATACATGTTATGGACTTTGAATTTTTCCTTTCAGAAGTAGGGTTCTCCGTATTTACAGTTACAAGTAACCACAGAGTTAAAGGCTCAAGTACATGTCAGATAACTTAATATAACTGCTTTCAGTTTAATTGAGTACTCATAAAAATGATCACAGACAAACCTTTTTTTTTTTTTTTTTGATACCCAAAGGTGGGACTGCAGAAATCAATATGCATAATATTAAAACAAGATTTACCTCTATCGTAGGATCATATTCATCCACAAAGTGATTCTGAATTAGCTGTATCGTCAAGGCACTCTTGCCTACGCCACCAGCTCCAACTACCACAAGTTTATATTCAGTCATTTTCAACAGGCCTTATAATAAAAATAACAAAAATGTGGCTACATTAGAACATGTCACGTGAGTTTAATATATTCCATATCCTTTGTCAATAACACAAATATAGAAAATTATTTCAAAATATCTTATCAAATACAATGAAGAAAAACTTCAGTTGATTCACATTAACATTTGGTTTATGTATATATAGTGAAAGTATTTTTCTCATTCTTTAATCTTAGATTCTGGTTGTCCTATCCAGTCAGCCTGCTGTCCTATAGCTGCCAACGTCTCTCAAAGGGACATATCATGTCTTCATTCAGTCCAAGTGTCCAGCACAGAGCCCCATACCCACATATAACTTGTTGACAGTGATCTCCATAACTGTCGAAGCAGTGTACTTAGGTGACTCTTGGTTCCTAAGTGTAAGAAGTGGATATGCTCAGAGTATCTTTTTGAAGCCACCAGCCATTTAAAACAGTAACAACAAACTTTAGAGGCATCATCTTAGTTCTCCTGAAGTGGTAGCAAAAATCAGAATCTGATAAGGTGGGTATGTGGGGGGGGGGGGGGTGTCACACAGTGGAATATAAAATGTAGACACTGAAGTACACTGAAATGGAATTTGATGATAGTTTAATCTGTAAACTATCTGCAGGGGAAAATTAAAGCATAAAAAGAGAATTTTGGATTAGCTGTTCCTCCTTGGAAACCCTACACTGGGTCGCTATGGGTAGGATCGACTCGATGGCACTAAACAACAACAACATTTAGTACTCTGAACCACAAAGTCAGCAGTTCAAACTTACCATCTGCTCCTCAGAAACCCTATATAGAGTCACTGAGTCGGAACCAACTTGATGGCACTTAACAATAACAGCATAGGTGATCTGGAGTCCCAGTGCAACATTGTAGGATAAGCACTGGACTGCTAACCACAAGGCTGGCAGTTCAAATCTGCCAGGCACCCCTTGGAAACTCTATACAGTGTTGCTGTGAGTTGGAACTGACTCAATGGCACTTAACAATACAGGTGATCTGATCATCAATCACAATATACAATCCTGTATTAGTGCTGAGTAACACAGTACTTTTGCACAAGAATAAATCTAATTATATATAAATTTTAAAGGTAAAGACTTTTAATTATGAGGGAATTTTAAAAAGATGTAAATGAATATTCCTTAGCCATCTACACATTTACTCTCTTCTCATACATTGCATCCCATGGGTACAATAAACACAATTAATTTGTAAAGTTAACAAATAAAAGATAGAAACAGAAATATGACATAAAAAAATGAATAAAACTTTTTAGTCAGCCACTTCAAATCTTTAGAAATAAAAGGAATATATTTAATTTCTATCTTTTCTTCCCTCAATATTACAAAAAAGTAAAATGCAGAAAAAAAATGACAGTGTTTTCACAATAATTTGGAGTCCTGGTGTGGCACTGTAGGATAAGCACTGTACTACTAATTGCAAGGGTGGCTGTTCAAACCCACCAGCTGGCTCCTTGGAAACTATCTAGGGTTCCTATGAGTCAAAACTGACTTGAGAGAACTTAACAACACAATAATTTATTATAGGATAAAAAAACCTCACTGCCACTGAGTCAATTTCCACTCAGTGACCTTATAGGGCAGATTAGAATACAGTCTCAAAAACTCCTTAGGGTTTTTGAGACTGTGTATCTTTATGGTAGCAGATAGCCTCATCTTTCTCCCAAGGAGTGGCTGGGGGGTTTGAACCTCCAATAGTGCAGTTAGCAGCTCAATGCATAACCCACAGAGCCACTAGAGCGCCTTACAGGACAAGTAGTCCAAATTAATGAATGTGTATATGTATGTACTGCAGATAAACACTATATCTATGTAGTATCGTATTTACTGAAGGACAAGAATTATCTCAATAAAATCCAATGCCATCGAGTCAAATCAAGTCAGATTCATAGCAACTGACAAGAAAGAATTAGCTAAACAGGCACCAAATAATTGCATATTAGAGCACCACAGCCTAGGGTGTTGTATCCCTGGCCCACAACTCTGCTCCAACTCTCCTTATTTGCTTCTTGGCTAGTGCCATCTTGCGAGCTATTACAAACACAATCTTATCCTGTTTCCCTGAACTGTGGATTCCAAATGTACACCACAGCAAATGGGGTTATTGTTATTAGTTGCCATCAAGTCAGCTCTGACTCATAGAAACAATCTTTATGTTGTGATTATTGTGGTAATCTACTTCAATGAGAGTGTCCCCTGTTTTCACTGACCCTCTACTTTACCAAACATTATGCCTTTTTCTAGCAATTGGACTTTCCTAGTGATGTGTCTAAATGGGATTGAGGAGAATCACATCAAAATGTATCCTCTAGCTCCACTCCCCTCCAACGCCTCCCAAAAACCCAAGTTTGGATAACCTAGAAAAGCAGTTCTCAAAAGTATGGTCTGGAAACCCTTTGGTGTTCCTAAGACTTTTTTGGAGTCTCGGTAGTCAAAACTATTTTCAAAATATCATTAAGATGCCTCTTGTCCTTTTCACGCCAATTCGTTCACAAGTGTAATTTTAAAGATATGTAATTGCAATAAAGTGAATGCAGAAGCAGATATGAAAATCCAGATATGTTCTACTAACACACACATTAAAGAGATTTGCAAATGTGTAAAACAATGCTACCCTTTTCTCACTCATTTTTGTTTGGGTTTTGGAGAATAATTATTTTTTCACAAAGAAGTCTATGTTGCATGTAATGAATATCATTTTTATTTTTAAATAAAGTAATATTTTAAATTCTCAGTATTAACTTCTAATATGGTAAACACTGATATATCTCACACAAATCAAAGAGGTCCTAGGACCAACAATTGCGCTAGCCCAGTAAGTATTGTGGACAGATACTGGATTAGAGTTTAGTAGTTTTAGTAGTTTATCAGACCACAGCATGATGGCACCATATGATAAGCACTGGATTGTGAACCAAAGGGTTCACAGTTTGAGCCCAGGAGCCTTTCCTCAAGAGAAAGATGAAGCTTTCTGCTCCTGAAAACCTTGGAAACCCTATCCAGGTGTCCTGTGAATCAACAGGCTCTCCCCAGGCACTTAAAACAATGACAACAGATTATCAGACCTGTATCCCTTTCGGTATATTTGTTTATGCAGTGTTTTCTGGGAGGATGAGTACTATAAAACAATAATAATCAAGTAATATTCAAATCTACTAGAGAGCATGAATTACAAAGGAATCTCACTGAAAGTCATAGCACAGAAGGGCCACACACATTCAAATTTACATATACTAACAGTAAGGAGCCCTAGTGTGGTGGTGTAGATTAATGTGTTGGACTACAAAGTCCGTGGTTCAAGCTCAACAGAAACCCTACACAGGGTCACTATGAGTCAAAACCAACAGGACAGCACTTAACAACAACAACAAATAAGGGTGAAATGGGCTAGACCTCAGTGATTTTGGTTAAGCAAAAAAAAAAAAAAAAAAATTAAAATTTCACTTTTGTCATAAAATTAAATTACCATTAATCAGCTCTCTTAATACCTGTAGTTGGCTAGAGCCTCAAAGTAAACAGTACTAATATCAGCCATTGTTTGATGTCTACAGTCTGTCACATGTTCAAGACAGTATTTTGGACCTTAAACTCACTGCCATCAAGTGAATCCTCAACTCATAGAGACCCTATATAGGGCTTCAGAGGCTATAAATATTTATGGCAACAGAAAGCCTACCTGTCTCCTGTGGAGTGACTGCTGGGTTCGAACTGTCACTTTGCAGTCCAGTACTTATCCTATTTTAGACCTTGTGTTATTTATTAAGTGCCATCGAGTAGGTTCCAACTCATAGTAACCCTGTATTGGTGGGTTTGAACCACCAAACTTGTGGTTGGCAGTCCGGTATTTACCCTATAGCACCACATCATTAAAAGTGATACCAGTCATATGGTTAATTATGAAATGATGATTACCAAAAAAAAAAAAGAGAGAGAGAAACTAAACCTGTACCATCAAGTCCATTCCAACTCATAGCTACGCTATCCGACAGTGTAGAACTGTCTGGCAGGGTTTCTTTCCAAGAATGCAAATCTTTACAGAAATAGGCTGCTACATCTTTCTCCTGCACAGCAGCTGCTGGTTTTGAACCTTCAACATTTCGACTAGCCACTGAGTGCTTAAACGATGGTACTAGGGCCCAATAGGTAATGATTACAAATAGATTTTCTTGCCTTTATCATTTAGCTTTTTTTCATTACAAACTTAGTAGGCATACTGTGGAAAATATCTTTTTGGTCTTAACCCCTTGTTTGATGAATATTAACACTGAGGATTTTATAGTAAGATTTCAGCTACACCATGCACATGTCTAAGAGTGTTTTGTGCAGTTAGTTGATGCACTGCTACCACCAAGTCTTCTTGTAAGTCGGTTAAAAAAAAAAAAAAATCCAAAACTGTTTGCTGTTAAACGGAGTACTGTAATAACTCGCAGGATGGGCAAAAAATCTGTAATGATAAGGGAAATGTAGATAGAAGGGAGGACAAAAACAAGCAAATTAAACTTCAAGTTCTCTGTTGGCGATTGCTGTCTGCATCACTCATATTGCAAGGCAAAGGCCTTCCTTGCACTCTGCAGATTTTTCTACATGTATTTCAACTTGATAAAGCAAAGCAGACCTTCAAGGATTAACTTTTCTTTGCCGTTTCATTGCAGGTCACAAGCATATTCTTTGCGTGTAGGGTGTTGGCCACCTGTTCTTCCACCACCATCTCTATCTCCACCTCCTCCTTTGTGGCCACAGCAATGTCACAGCCCATACATGGGGGAGGGGAGCAGTCAGGAACTCAGCTGCAGATGCATTTTTTCCAAACACAATAAACCTCCAATAGTGGTCTCTAAGCACTTTTCTATAATCTTCCAAACGTGACCTTCCCTCTTACCCATACCTCCCCCTACACAGTGAAAAGGTCCATTATCCATCCAGCCTGCGCTCGAGGGAGAAGTTTATACCTTCGTCCTAGGGATGCTAGATACAGGAGAGAAGGCAGACACCAAGGTAGTCGAGCGCTGGGGAAGGGAGGAAAAGGTGCGGGAGCAGAGAGCGAGGGAGAGAAAAGGACGAGGGGGAAGGGAGACTGGGGCGCCGCGGGAGTAACCTCCACCGTACCCCACCGCCCCGAGGGGCAGCCGGCCCGGCCCACGAGTTTCTCCCCGGCCGCCTCCAACCGCGGCTCTCGGGGAGGAGGAAGGAAGGGGTTCCCCGTCCAGGAAGCAGCAGAAGCGGCGACCGCCTCTAGCCTCACCCTCTTCAGCCCCACACCGCCCATTCCTCACTCTCCGCGTCGCTGCGACTCCGCGCCTCCCCCTGCAGACCACCCCCAGCGCCCAGGCTCCGAGCCGGCGCCCCCTCCCGGGACCCCTAATTCATTCACTCGCCGTCGGCCCCTCCCGGCGCCGACGCAGAGGGTCGGGACCAGGACAGGGGCCCAGAGGGGTGGTCCACTCCGTACCTCTCTCCCGCACCTGGGAGCCGCCGAGCCACTGGCCCCCTCCGTCGCCTTCAGTGCCTGCGCCGCGTTCGCTCCCAGTCCGAAATGGCGGGGGCCGGGAGTACTGGCCGAGCAGCCGCCACCGCCGCTGCTGCCTCCGCCGCCGCGGCCGCCGCCTAGGGAAATCGAGCTCCGAGCACACCGATGAGTTCGGGGCCGGGCGGCCGCAGAGGGCAGAGCTATCGATGCGTTCCGTACTCGATTCCTCTTCAGGCGGGAGAGCAGGGAGGGAGCGGCTGAGGGTGGTGTGGGAAGAGGGAAGAGAGGGAGCCTGCGAGGGCCGCCGTGGGGTGGAGGGAAGGAGGGGGCGGGCCGGCGGAGGGCGGGGGACCCACTGGTGGCGGCGGAGGGCGGGGGACAGGCGAGCGTTGGAAGGAGGGGCTGGGGAAGCGTAGGCGGTGCCTCCGCAAGGAGGAGGGACAGCCAGACTCACTCTCCTTTCTGAGCGGTCCCGCATCCGCAGATTGCAATTCGTACCAGATCGCGGTTGGCCACACTCACACCATAGGAGACCCCACTGCACCGCTATTACATTTGCACCGAGAAGCCACGAAAATCCCGACAACCCCGTGATCGATCTATTCCTGTGCACGTTCATTTACTATCATTTATTGCAGCTAAGTAAACATGCAGTCACCAAACCTGGAAAGAGACTTAGGCGCCTTACGGAGAAATGAAACAGACAGTTCATCCCGCGGCTTCTAGATCACTACCTGATTTTATCAGTCTAGACCTTCAGGGGATGGGAGCCTAGCCCCAGGACCAAGCAAGTCTTTCATAGTTAATTTTATGGGATGAACGATTGAGGGGGATCAATTGATTATCTTGATATTTTGAGGAATGTCTCTCCAAACAGGCACCTTGGATGTATCCATTGTCCACGAAGGGCCAAACACAAGACAAACTATTTTTAAGTAACAGTGCCCTTGATAGCTTAGACTTAAGGAGAATCATTGAGACATTAATTAGAAGACAGAAGATTAATCAGTTAACATTCACAGTTAACACATTAAGCAATGGCGTAATTAAAATATGCTAACAAACCCAGAGACTGTGCTGATTACCTAGAAAGGTAAATTGTTTGGAAGACTTTTATACATTAAGGCGTGGCAAAGCAGCGCCCACAATCTAATGCAACCACTAAAACAATTGTTATGAATCCCAACTATTATATCTGTTAACCAAGGCCTTACAAGGCCAACTTTTCTTCCTTTTCCCTTTTCTTCTTACTCTTTCCATGAGCTGTTATCCACAGTTTTATTCCTGTCTCACTCTCTAAATACCCAAACACCAAAGCAGGAAGAAGAGAGAAAAGTGGAAGGCAGGGAATGTGCCTTATCTAGGTCAAATACAGGGGTAGGTCAAAAAATATTGCTATAAAATCTTAAACACTTTCATTAACAAAAATATATATATATCAAAATGTGAAGCTAGTGTTTCTTGACCTATATCCTTCACCTAGGTCTATACACTTCTAAAGACAGTGTTTTTTTCCTAGTGTGGCTCTGCAGTTTAATGTGCTGGACTGCAAAGTCGATTTGAACCACAAGGTCTGCTGTTCAAGCCCACCAACTGCTCCTTGGAAATCCTATACAGGGTCACTATGAGTTGGAATCGACTCCACAGCACTTAACAATAACAATCCTTCTCTGGAGAATTTTATGTTCTTTGATTTGCACCACATCCAAACACAGCTTTTACATCTTCAGGGGACTCAAATCCTGTTTCTTTTCAATGTTCTTTGAGTTTGGGGGACAAAAAGAAGTCTGGAGGGGCAAGATTAAGATTGTAGAGTAGATGGGGTAAAGTTTCCAGCAAAATTCTCATAGGTAGCCCTTGCTATCCTCAAAGAATGAGCAGGTGCATTATCATGTTGGAAAAAAAAAAAAAAAAATTGCTCAACCAAATCTCCTGGCCTTTTTTTCTAACGAATACAGTGTCTTACTTTCTTAAAACTTACTTCTAATAAGCCCCCATAATCACCCTGCATCCTTCAAGAAAAATCTATCAAGGTTATTCCTTTGGAATCCGCCCCCCAAAAATGTCACCATAACTTTCTGAGCTGACTTCTCTGCTTTGAATTTAACTGGTCCAGAAGACCCCCTCAAAGGTCACTGTTTTGATAGGACCTTTTTTGAAGGCACCCTCGTAAGACTAAGATAAATGTATTACTGAGAAAACTTGTCTGCAGTCATCCACTGATCATGGAGACCTTAGCAGCAATACTTTTTAATTTAGCCTCATACTATATAATGTTTGGGGATCTTGGAAGCTCTATAGGATTAGCACTGGACTGCAAACCCTTTTTTGAGCCTTCCTGCCACTCTGTGGGAGAATGATCAGGCTTTCTGCTCCTGTAAAGATTCCCAAGCCTCAAAAACCATATACAGGGTCTCTATGAGTCAGAATCAGCTCAATAATACATAATGAGAACAACATAAAACTTTTTTTTTTTTTCCTTTTCTCTTACTCGCAATAGAATATGAACTCAAAGAGGTCAGGGTGTTTTGGGGTGTTTTTTGTCTTTTTAAAAAAAGTTACTGCTAAATTTTCAGTGCTTTCAATGGTCTCTTACACAATAAGACAGTCAGTAAATATTTGTGACATGTTGAATGAATTAAGCTTTATGTTCCCTCTTTCTGAACTCTCTGACTCTAAATCCTTATTTAGACAGAAGCTCTGGTAGCGTAGTGGTTACGAATTGGGCTGTGAACCTCAAGGTCGGCAGTTCGAAACTACCAGCAGTTCCGCAGGAGAAAGATGAGGCGGTCTGCTCCCGTAAAGATTTATAGCCTTGGAAACCCTGTGTAGGGTCACTACGAGTCGGAACCAACTCCAGGGTACATAACAACAACAACAACCTTAAATTTCTGTCAATATCTGTCTTCATCATCTTACTGAGTTTGCCTTTAAACGCTCCAGGTCAAATTTTTGAGAAATCTTACCATGTGGAGTCTAGAAAAGTGTCCAGTACATAATGGATAAAATGAATTTTTATTAAATGATTGAATTTTCACTTATTTGTATGTTACATAATAATCACTTCTAATATAAATCACATTTATTTATTTTTAAAATCACATTTATTTTTATAGCTTCAAGTACATGGTAAGTTATTGCATTCTTTTATAACAGCTAATGCATTGTTTCCCCTATTGTTATTAAGTGCCATCAAGTTGGCTCAAACTCGTAAGGGTTTCTAAGGAGTGGCATATGCATGCGAAAGCTGGACAGTGACTAAGGAAGACCATAGAAGAATTGATGCTTTAGAGTTACGGTGTTGGAGGAGAATATTGAAAGTATCATGGGCTACTAAAAGAACCAACAGATCCATTTTGGAAGAAGTACAACCAGAGTGTTCCTTGGAGGCCATGATGGCCAAACTTCATTGCTCATACTTCGGACACATTGTCAGGAGTGACCAGTCGCTGGAGAGGGATATCATGTTTGGTAAGGTGGAGGGTCAAAGAAAAAGATGAAGGCCCCTAACGAGATGGATTGGCCAAGTGGCAGCACTGATGGACTCAAGCATGGCAACAGTAGTTTGGCCCAGGACCGGGCAGTGTTTCATTCTGCTGTGCATAATGTCACTATGAGTCAGTATCAACTCGATGGCACCTAATAACAACAAGAAGGAGTGGCTGGTGAATTTGAACCACTGACCTTGCAGTTCAAACCAACCTTGAGGTCCAGTGCTTTATACTGCAGCACCACACCAGGACTCCTGTTCCCCAAATGTGCTGTTAAGTGTCTTGAAGTCAGTTCTGACTCATAGCAACCCTTAAAAGGGTTTCTGAGGAATGACTGCTGGGTTTGAACTACCAACGTTGCAGTTCAAACAGATCTTGTGGTCTAGTGCATTCTCCTGCAGCATCACACCAGGACTCCCTACACTTGGTGCTCAATCTTAAAACGACTAAAACAAGTGTGTTACTGAGAGAACTTGTCTGCAATAATCCACTGATCACAGAGACACATTTAAACACATTTTGTTTGGGATAAATCTGAGTATGCATGAATGGGAACTCTAGTAGCAATACTTTTTGATTGGTGCTGTGGGTTACTGCACTGGACTACAAAGTCCGTTTAAACCACAAGTTCAATGATTGAAG